ATATATAGTCATTTCATATATATATATATATCAGAATCTGTTAAAGAGACTGTTACTTCACCAGTCTACCCATCACTGTTGTAAACTCCAAGAGACAAAACTAAGGTCCAAGTAGACTGTCTGCATTCGGCAAAGGTTGACTCTTACTAAATAATTCTTGACATTTTGAAAGATCTTTTCTGATAGATAAATCTATGCATGTGGAATGACCTCAAAATGCATTTTGGCTTTTGCATGTAAGCAAGAGGTAATGAATAAGATAAAAATGTCAGTAACTTTATGTGCTTCTGTTATCAAACAACAAAAAAAGCAAGTCGGCCATATTCCATTAGAGCTGAGAAAAGAGCCTTTCCACATCACTGCTGGTTCTATAAAGTGCCACTGGGAGTTAATAGGTCATATTTATCTTGTATTAGTTATTAAAATACCCAGAGAACATTATGTTAAGTGATATAAGCCAGGCACAGAAAGACAAATACATGATCTTGCTTATATGTGGAATCTAAAAACATCAAACTCAAACAGAAAGTAGAATGGTCGTTACTAGGAACTTATGGGGGGGTATGAGAGAGAATAGGGAGATGTGGTTGGTCAAAGGATACAAAATATTAGGCAAGAGGATAAGATCATGAGATTTAATTTTATAACATGGTAACTATAACAATGTATTCTGTACTTGAAAGTTGTTAAGAGTAGATTTTAAATGGTCTCACCACAAAAAAACAAGTGAGGTAATGGGTATTAATTAGCTTGGTCTAGTCATCCTATGAGGTATACACATATCAAAATATGTATGCCATAAATACATGTATAATTTTTATTTACCAATTAAACATAAATAATCTTAAAACTAATCAACATGTTAATTTTACTAAATTGGGTAAAAGGTTTGTAACCTTTAGGAAATACCTAAAGCTTCTTGATTCCTGAAAACATTTTATCTGAGTTTCTGTTGACATCATCCCCACCTCTAGACTTCTACCTGGTAAACATGCCTTCCACTGGGCGATGACATTAAGGTGACAGACTGTCGATCAACAAGGTCCAAGGCCTGGATGGCAGATGAGCCAAAGACAAACTTTAGCCTGGGAAATAGAAAGGCTTCAGATTAAAAGGCTTGATTCTCAAAGTTACCACAGCAACCTGTCTCAAAGTTTTCCATTCTCAGCATTTTTTAAAAATTTATTTTTAATTTGGAAAAAAAATAGGCAATGTAACAAAACCCACAGACTCACTCACTTCCCAGAATTAATAAACATTGACATCTTGTTCATTTTAGATCTTGGTTTTTTTAAATATAAGAGTAAATTAAAAGAAAAAAAAGAGAAAAAAGAGTAAATTATTATACTTAACTTTATACATCTTTCCACCTTCCCTTCATCCCTGAGGCAACTACACCACGTGTTGGGTTCTTTCCTGTTAATGTATTTTATATTTGATTATGCATAGAACATATGTGTGTGCACATATATACTTATGCATAGGTATGCATATATTTACACATACAGTATTAAAAGTTTTAAAATAAAGAAGGGATACTGTATGCTCCTTTTGGCAACTTGTATTTTTCCACTGAGTACATAAAAAAATGACATGTAATTATTTATTTATTTTAATTTCTGAATAATAATCCATTATATGTATAAGCTACATTTTATTGTTATCTACATTATTTATCCCTGTATACATTCCTTGGTACACACATATGAACATTGTTTTGGTTATGTAGCTAAAAGAATTGCTGAGTCTCAGGATATGTGTATTTTCTTTTTTTTTTTGAGAGAGAGAGATTTTTGCTATAGGACACATGTGTTTGTTGGAGAGATAGACAGAGAGACAGAAATAGAGAAATCACCCCCACAGAGATGACTACATCGCAATCCCTTCTCCTCCATTCTCCTCTAGGGATTTTGGGCATGCATGCATGTGGTGTGAGTTTTAAGCCACCAGGTCAGGGATCTGAACTGCAGTCAACTATGTGGAGTTCAACGCCTTAATCATAATTCCACCTGCTGGTCCAATATGTGCATTTTCAACCTTAAATAATATTGCCAATAGCTTTCTAAAGTGAAAATAGTATTCCCACTAGCACTGTATAAGAGTTCTAGTTTCTTCATGTCCTCATCATTATCAGACTTGTTTTTTTGTTGTTGTTGGTTTTTTTGTTTGTTTGTTTGTTTGTTTTGCTATAGGGCGTGTGTGGTACCAGACAGAAACATAAAGAAGGGAAGTGAGAAACTATCCCGCAGAGAGGATTGCCACGCCACAATCCCTTCTCCATTCTCATCTTGGGATCCTAGGCTAGACACATGTACCTGGCATGATCCTCAAGACGCTGGATTCAGTTAATGTTTGACCATTTGATAGGGGTTAAATTTGTACTTCTGGATTGGTAATAAGGCTATGCACTTGTTAAATGATGTTTAAAGGGTCTTAGAGCCTCTTCAAACAAATGATATATCAGGAAAAAAGTCTGATAGGTGAGAAAATTCTTACGATATGTGAAATGAGACAAGTTGGGCAAAATTGTACATTTAGAAACTCGGTTGTGCTAAAAAAATTCTTTAAGGACATCCAAAATCATTTCAAAATAAAAAAAATTAAGGAAATATGGCAACTGGGGCTGGCAGGTGGCATGGTGGTTGAGGCGCTGGACTCCCACGTGGCCATATGTGGTTCGAGTCCTAGACCTGGCCGCTTGCTTTCTCACTTTCCCTCTCTCTCTGGTCAAATTAAAATAAATGAATAAATGAATTAGGTAAGTAATTCTAAAAAAAAAAAAAAAAATGCAGTAAATAAAAATGTAAGTGTGATTATTATTGGATAGCATGTTGATGCTTTTTGTATTTTTTTTTAATAAAACAGCTTTTTACGATGACTGTGGTTATTTTTATAAAGTGGAAAATAAAATGACTATGCTGAATTCAAACTAAAGAGTTAATGTTTCAAAGAACTCAAATTCTGGGGCTACCAGGTGGCGCAGTGTTAATCACTGTGCTGGAATGCCACATGGTCGACTGTAGTTCTAGTACTGGATCTGGTAGCTTGAAAATGTCAGGTGCATGTACAATCATGCCCAAAATCCCAAGAGGATAATGGAGAAGAGACTGTGGCATGCCTATCCCCTCAGGGGATGATTCTCACCTTCCCTCTCACTGTTTCTCTGGTAAGTGCATATGTCTTATGGCAAAAATCTTAACCCAGAGATGACTACATCGCAATCCCTTCTCCTCCATTCTCCTCTAGGGATTTTGGGCATGCATGCATGTGGTGTGAGTTTTAAGCCACCAGGTCAGGGATCTGAACTGCAGTCAACTATGTGGAGTTCAACGCCTTAATCATAATTCCACCTGCTGGTCCAATATGTGCATTTTCAACCTTAAATAATATTGCCAATAGCTTTCTAAAGTGAAAATAGTATTCCCACTAGCACTGTATAAGAGTTCTAGTTTCTTCATGTCCTCATCATTATCAGACTTGTTTTTTTGTTGTTGTTGGTTTTTTTGTTTGTTTGTTTGTTTGTTTTGCTATAGGGCGTGTGTGGTACCAGACAGAAACATAAAGAAGGGAAGTGAGAAACTATCCCGCAGAGAGGATTGCCACGCCACAATCCCTTCTCCATTCTCATCTTGGGATCCTAGGCTAGACACATGTACCTGGCATGATCCTCAAGACGCTGGATTCAGTTAATGTTTGACCATTTGATAGGGGTTAAATTTGTACTTCTGGATTGGTAATAAGGCTATGCACTTGTTAAATGATGTTTAAAGGGTCTTAGAGCCTCTTCAAACAAATGATATATCAGGAAAAAAGTCTGATAGGTGAGAAAATTCTTACGATATGTGAAATGAGACAAGTTGGGCAAAATTGTACATTTAGAAACTCGGTTGTGCTAAAAAAATTCTTTAAGGACATCCAAAATCATTTCAAAATAAAAAAAATTAAGGAAATATGGCAACTGGGGCTGGCAGGTGGCATGGTGGTTGAGGCGCTGGACTCCCACGTGGCCATATGTGGTTCGAGTCCTAGACCTGGCCGCTTGCTTTCTCACTTTCCCTCTCTCTCTGGTCAAATTAAAATAAATGAATAAATGAATTAGGTAAGTAATTCTAAAAAAAAAAAAAAAAAATGCAGTAAATAAAAATGTAAGTGTGATTATTATTGGATAGCATGTTGATGCTTTTTGTATTTTTTTTTAATAAAACAGCTTTTTACGATGACTGTGGTTATTTTTATAAAGTGGAAAATAAAATGACTATGCTGAATTCAAACTAAAGAGTTAATGTTTCAAAGAACTCAAATTCTGGGGCTACCAGGTGGCGCAGTGTTAATCACTGTGCTGGAATGCCACATGGTCGACTGTAGTTCTAGTACTGGATCTGGTAGCTTGAAAATGTCAGGTGCATGTACAATCATGCCCAAAATCCCAAGAGGATAATGGAGAAGAGACTGTGGCATGCCTATCCCCTCAGGGGATGATTCTCACCTTCCCTCTCACTGTTTCTCTGGTAAGTGCATATGTCTTATGGCCCAAATCTTAACCCGCCCCCCCCAAAAAAACAAAACCAAAAAACAAAAAACCTTACATTCCTTGCTACAGAGTAAGAAAGAAATACTAAGGCTTCAAAATTAAAATGTTGAACTTCTTCATTTTCAAACAAACTAGTATCACATAACCTACTACTGGGTGATGGGAAAGAGACTTTTGCTTTTACTAAACATGTTAAGATTTAGTCTTCGAGGAAAAAGAAAAATTTGGCAAGAACCTTACCAATTAGAGATAATCACAATTAAGAATGTTTTAAACCGGCTTTGTCCACTTTATGATCTACTGTGAACATTTTCTGAACTTATTAGTCATTTCTCACTTAACGACCTGCCAGTTTAATGCCCACTTGTACTTTTGATCTGCCAGTTGTCCAGCACGGGAATCCCCTTTCTTTGTCTTGTTACCACAGTTGGTTAGAATTCACTAGACAAAAGCATTTGTAATCATGCAAGACTACATATTTTGTTTATAAATTTGTACTTTATTGTGAGCCACAGCGGTATTCTGAAAATATAAAAACGATTATGCCAGATTGTGTTGTGATGTATCTTTGTTTTCTGGCACTTATCTAATGCGTACTTTTTGTAAGGATAGAATTACATTATTCTCATGTGGTTTTGCATGATATTTATTGAAGAATGCCCTGTGGGACCACTGAGACACCACTGGACATTCACCTTTAAGTTTCTCACTTATTGATCAATTCACAAAAACCAAACTTAGTCGTTAAGTGAGGGGTGCCTGTATATTTCTATGTTACTTTTGTTTTTTGAGAAGTTTTTGCAATAGGGCATGTGTGCTCACCAGAAAGACAGAAAGCGAGAAATCACCCCCCCCGCCCCCCCCAGAGGGATGGCCATGCCACAATCCCTTCTCCATTCTCCTCTTGGGATCTTGGGCACGCATGCACATACGCCTGGTGTGAGTTTAAGTCACCAGGTCTGGGACTCGAACCACAGTTGACTACATGGGAGTCCAGCGATATAGCCATTATGCCAACTGCTGGTCCCTCTATATCACTTTCTTTTTGAGAGAGATTTGTGCTATAGGGCACATGTGCTCACCAGAAAGACAGAGACAAAGAGAAAGAAAATGAGAAATCATCCACGGTGGGGGGGTGGGGGTATGTGACCACACCACAATCCTTTGTTCATTCTCCTCTCAGGATTTTGGGCACAGATGCACACGAACCCAGCATGAGTTTCACAGTGTGAGTTTCAAGCCAGGAGTCCAGGACTTGAACCACAGAAGACTACGTGGGAGTCCAGCGCCTCAATCACTATGCCACCTGCTGGTCCCAATCACTTTTATTGGCTATAAAGAATTCTACCATAAAGATGGATCACTTTTATTCTCTCTAAACTCTATTTTTGGATAATTAGATTGTTCCAGGTGTGTTGTTCTGTTTTACTGCTACTATAAACAATACTCGAATATCTTCACTGTAAAATCTTTATGAACATGCATGATTACTTCCTCTGAATACATACTTACAAGTGGAATTTCTAGGTCAAAGAATATGTATGTTTTAAAGTGCTTATTAGCTACTGCCAGAGTACTTTCCAATTTAGATTCTTTGTTTTTTTTTTTTTTTTTTTTTTAAGAGAGATTTTTTTGCTATAGGGTACATGTGTTTGCTAGAGAGACAGAAAGCGAGAAATCACTCCCAGGGGAAATGGCCACACCACAATCTCTTCTCTTTTCTTCTCTCAAGATTTTGGGCATGCATGCATAAGTGCCTGGCGTGAGTTTTAAGTTTCTGGGTCTGGGACTCGAACTGCAGTCGACTATGTGGGAGTTCAGCAACATAACCATTATGCCATCTGCTGATCTCCAATTTAGATTCTTAACAGAAAGATATCAGCCATCCATTTATCCATATTCTTGCCAACATTTCTTTTATGGAGTTGCCAATTTTATAGATGAAAAATTATCTTACTACTTTAATTTGTATTTTATGGGCACTAGTAAGATTTATCTTTTTTTTCTCCAATGTTTTTGGCTATTTACATTATTTTCTTTTTTAAGAAATTTTTACTTTAGGACACATGCGCTTGCCACAGAGAGACAGAGAGAAAGAAAGGGAAAGTAAGAAATCACTCCCTGTGGGGATGGCCACACTGCAATCCCTTCTCTTCCATTATCCTCTTGGGGTTTTGGGCATGTACACACCCTCCCAGTGTATTTTCCATGTTGCCAGGTCCAAGACTCAAAATATGCAGTCAGTCCTTTTGGATCCAGCCACCTTAACTACCATGATAACCTGACTGGCCTGCATTCTTTTATTATTTGCCCATTTTCTTTGTTTTTAAAGTCATAGTTTATTTTTTTCTAATTATGCATACTTGTTATACACATTTAAAAAAGAGAAAAAGTTAAAGCCCTTCCCTAAATTCTACCTCCTTCCTTTCCTTTAGGTTAACCTCTAGTATAGGCTCATATGTATCTTTTGGGACTTTTAAATATAAGTGTATATATGAAATAGAGTGTTATTTATTCCTAGGAAGCTTTCACTTTTATGCTGCTGTTGAAAATGTAATTCTATTTTTGAATTTTTGGTATGAGGGAAGGGAATTTTGGTTTCTGTATTTTTTAAATAACTGGCTACTATTTTATTTACTTGTTTTTTAAAGTAGTTATATTATCTGTAAATAGTGATGATTGACTTTCCTTGCAGAAAGTATACTTCTAATTTCTTCTGTTAGCATAACAAATCCTAAAGAATGACCAACAAGAGAGGCAAATAAGAGAATATGGGAATGTACTGTCCAAACTGATGTCAGGTCTTCATTTGAGACAGATTTTTAACAATCATATCAAGAAAATATTGTTCATTCATAGTTTAATGTTGTAAATATTAAGAGTTGATGTTGAATGGATTTGGCTCTTCAAACACATTAATGGTTAAAAAGAAACTAACACATGGGACCAGCAGATAGCGTGATGGTTAAGGCATTGGACTCCCAGGTGTGGTCACTCATAGTTTGAGTCCCGGACCTGGCAGCCCACTCTCTCACTTTTCTACCTTCCCTCTATCTGTCTCTCTCTCGTGAGTGCACATGCCCTATAGCAAATAAATAAAAAAAAAAGTAAACAATTCTTTAAAAATATATATAATCAAACACAATAGGATATGTACTTACGATAACAGATGCTCATCAGGAACTGTAAAATGGGAATGCAAAAAAAGTTAATCATATTAAACCAGTGACTATAGACATAAAAATCTATAACCAGAAAAGACTTCTATTATGCTAGCCTATGGTCTGGTGGTTAAGGCAGCTACATTCCACATGGCTAACTGTGTAGTGTGAGTCTTGGATTCAGCAGTCTGAGAAACACACTGGGCATGTGTGTGCGTGTTCTCAAAATTCCAAAAGGAAGAAATGGAGAAGGGAGTATGGCATGACTTTCCCATGTGGGGTGCTTTCTCACTGTCTCTGTCCTCTCCTCTCTCTTAAGTGCATATGCCCCCAGCAAATTAAAAAAAGAAAAAAGGACTTCTATTTAAGATGGTGATTTGAGGTCAGCAGGTGACATAGTGGTTAAAGGGCACTGGGCTCCCACATGGTTGACCATGGTTAGAGTCCCGGGTTGGCTTGCTTTCTCACTCTCCCTTTGTCTTTCTCTTTCTGTCCCTCTCTAGTCAAATTAAAATAAACAAACAAACAAACAGAGTTAAATAGTTCTTAAAAAAAAAAAAAGATGGTGACTCATGTACCTAACATTACTCCTTCTCCAAAACCTATTAATATAATAATAAAATAACTTTTTTAAAAAAGCACATAGCCTCAGCCCAGCTGCAGAGGTGCACATTGCTAAGAAGTTTTAAACTCTACAGGCTGGAACCACATGGGACGCCCAGGTTCAATTCTCAGTCCAACCTGTAAGTTGGGTGTGGTGGTCTGAGCCTGTAATTCCACTGACAGGAAATTGAAACAAGAGGATCACAACCTCAGGACTAGCCTCAGCAACATAGCAAAATCCTGTCTAAAAAAGAGCCAGGTATGACAACACACCTGTAGTCCCAGTTAAGAGGCAGGAGGACTGCCACATGATGAGATCGTGTTTTAAAAACAACCCATACGGCCCAGCCACAGTAGTACAGCTGGATGCCGACAGGGACCTTGGCAGGCTCCCACATGGGAGATCCTGGCTGGATTCCTAGCCCAATGAAAACTAACAAACAAGGTTAACAGCGCATGCAAGTAGTTCAAGCTACTTGGGAGGAGGGAAGGAAAAAAGCCCTATCCCATCCAACTACACATAAAAGCATAAACTCCTAAGGATGAGGACAACCAGAAATAATAGCTTAGATGTGTTAGAAGTGGATAGAAGAGTGGGAAATAATTTACAAGACCGGAGAAAACTCAAACTAACCAGGTGAGCCAAGCACCAAGCTAATTAATACACTCCAGAATTTAATTCTCTATAACTCCTCAAAAAAACTTCAGAAACTGGTGGCAACAGTTCTGGAGATAGGAATGACACAGGAACACTAAAATAAGGAAAAGTCTTTGAAAGTAAGTTTAAGAAGTAGTAGGACAACAAATGCCCTCCTTAGCTCTTTCTCATCCTGGCAAAAGACTAGGTTTAATTTCTAGAGAGGTTCAAAGGTAGGATGTCTAGACTATAGTTGGTACAGGGGAGGTTAAAAGTATCACATTGAAAACCAAAAGGACCTGTTCACTTCCCCAACACCCCTCCCATGATACAATCAGGTCTTCACCCTCAAGGCGGGAGACTAGAAGTATACACTAGGAAATCTTACAAGCCTGAGATGAATGATTTCCACTTCTAGACAGTCTAGTGAGAACCACCATGATGATATTTGTATTCCATTAGCCCCTTCAGGGTTTCCAATAATTTTTTTAGTCTCCCATTTTTTTTTTTTAATTGCCAGAGAGCATGTGAGCTCACCAATGACGGCACATCCCCCAACGAGATGCGGCCATATCACATTTCTTCCATTCCTCTTTCCTATTAGGATTTCAAGCATGCACACATGTGCCTGGCTAGCGTTTTTGTTTTGTTTTGTTTCCCAGAGAAATTTTTGCTATGGGGTGCCTGTGCTTGCCAGAGAGACAAAGACAGAAAGCAAGAAATCATCCCCCAGGGTGGATGGCCATGCCTGAGTCCCTTCTCCATTCTCCTCGCGCGCGTGCACACACACACACACACACACACACACACATACACACACACACACCCTGCATGATTATTAGCAGGCTGTGAGAACATTTTAAGATCATCTGGGTCCAGGACTCTGGCCATGTGGGAGTCCAACAATGCAACCATTAGGCCATCTGCTGGTCCCTGGCTAGCATGTTTACAGGCGACAGATTCAAAGGTAGGATGTCTGGGGGACTACACTTGGTACAGAGGAGGTTAAAAGTATCACATTGAAAACCAAGGAAAAACAAAAGGCTCTCCTGCTCACTTCCCCAACACCACTCTCATTATACAATCAGGCCTTCACCCTCAAGGGAGGAGACTACAAGTATACACTACTATTCCCATTGCCACCAGCTGTATAGGATCTAGCAACTTTAACTTCCACTCTTTTTTAAAAACATTATTTTATTATTTTTTTTTAGTTTGACCAGAGAGAGAGAGGAAGCAAGCTGTCAGATCTAGGACTTGAACCATAGATAGCCATGTGGGAATTCAGCACCTTAACCACCATGCTGCCTCTGTTGTTTCCAACTTCTTCTCTTTTATTTTTTTTTTTTGGAGAGGTTTTTGCTATAGGGTGCATGTGTTCGCCAGACAGACAGAGACAGAGAGACGGTGAGAAATCTCCCCCTGGGGGGGATGGCCACACCGCAACCCCTTCTCCTCCATTCTCCTCTTGGGATCTTGGGCACACACGCACGGTGTGAGTTCTAAGCCACCGGGTCCGGGATGCGAACCGCAGTTGACTACATGGGAGTCCAGCAACATAGCCATTACACTAACTGCTGGTCCTTCCAACTTCTACTCTTAAAATAATTAGCCAACTAAGTATTACCAGACAACAAATGTAAGACAGGGAGCAAAACAGAAGAAAACAAGAGAAAAAAATGGCAGAGAAAAGACCATTTCAAACCTTTTTTTTTTTTTTTTGAGAGTTTTTGCCATAGGACATGTGTGCTCTCCAGACAGAGAGGGAAAGTGAGAAATCACGCGCCAGGGAGGATGACCACGCTGCAATCCTTTTTCCTCCAGGGATTCTGAACATGTATGCACACGCACCTGGTGTAAGTTTCAAGCCACCAGTGCAGGAGTCTAACCAGCTTGCAACCTGCTGACCCCTGGCCTATTCTTTTTTTTTCACTTGGAGGAGATAACAAAAGTTGTCTTTCAAAACACAAGACACCCAAGTGAATGTGCAGTGGCAGTTTTGTGACATAATTTGTTACTTATAAAGTGGCCGTTTTTACACTGGAAAAGTAGTTCTAATTAGTCTATGCATTTTGATTAGTATCCTTTTCTATTAGCAGGCTGTGAAAACATTTTAAGATCATCTGGGCTAAGAGATGGTGGTGAACAGTCACAGCGCACCCTCTGCTGGCCCGAGGAAAAAAAACGTACTTTCACAATATCCAGTAGACCTATGAATTTTGTGGCTACTTTTCTGAACCAAATGTGTAAGACCATTAAAGCCAGTAACAGAATTTGAGGGAAAAATGCAAGCTTAATAATTTAAAATGCTGAATAAAATAATTCGAAATTTCACTTTTCTGTAACTCTCCGTAAGCTTCTGCGCGGTCCCCTCGGCTGGCCAGGCCCTTTCTCACGTGTACCCAGGCAGCTCCCAGCACTTGTCACCTCTGGTCCGCTCACGTCCTGAGGGAGGGCCTCCGGCAACGGCGCTCTTTAAGTATTTGCTGTATATCATATAATATTGGCACTTTTACTAGCCCAAATTTCTCTTTTTTTTTCTTTTAATTAAGAGTGCGGGGTGTAGAGATAAAACCACATGGAAATACCGCGCGGAATGGGGGCGACGGACCTCCCCGCCCAGGTGCCCGGGCCGCCGCCCACGGCACAGCACACTCGCCCACCGGCCGTACTTCGTGCGCTCTCCTGCACCGCGGCGGCCATTTCGCTCAGGAGCTCCTCCACGACCCCCGGCAACGCGACGGCCATAGGCCCACAGTTAGCCCTAGCCAGCAGGGGCGGCGGCCACGACGTTCCAACAGCGTCCTCCCGGGGAGAATTCCCGCCCCCTCCTGCCGGGGGCGGGTCGAGACGGAGTGACGTAGGCGTACGTCACCGCGCATGCGGACGGCGATGCTGACGATTCTGTGACGTCACGGCACGGCCAATCAGGCGAGCGCTCGGCGCTGAGGGTGGGACGTCCCGGGACCGCGCCGGCCTGCAGTGCGCAGAGGACGCGGCCGAGCATGTTCCGGCTCCTGAGCCTGGGCCTCGGCCGAACCCTCCAGCGGGCCGCGGTACGGCGGGGGCCGGGGGGCGCGGCCCGGCCGCGCCCCGG